TAGGCTCTACCACTCCCCACTACCTGAAGACAACATTGATGAGCCGGGAGTTGGTCACCGTCAAAGTGGGAACATTGCGGCGATTTTAATTAAAGTCTGTCTTCTCACTTTATAACATATTTATTTTTGTAGTTGGCATTGCCATTGCATAAGAATAAAACACCTCTCTATGTCAGTTAAATTTTTGGGAATTTTTTACAAATTTGTAACAGTTTATAATGCATGGTTGTTGATGTGTTTCTTGTCGTGGTTGTAAATTTATATGATTGTGAAATTGGTATATCGGTTCATGTCTTTGTTTCTGTTCTCTTCCTTTTTTCATTGTGTTGGTACTTTGCATCTTATAATTTCCAACTTTAAGGAAATCGGAGTTTCAATTTCCCTCTCTTTTAAGTAGTAGGCTAGTTGCGGAAAAAGAAGTTCAGCAAAAAATAGTAAAACTTTCCGCAATTTTCGCACTTCGCACTCGTGAAGTTCCACTTCTTCTGCATTGTATTTTTCGCTTTGGTTTGTTGGCATAAACTCACTTGGTGTTTTAAAGATCCAAACCTTTAAACTTTGGCAGAGACTTGGATAGAGCATCTTAGCAAAGAATAGTAGAACCTTTTTTATTTGCCGAATTTCACATTCCTCTAATTTGACTTTTTTTAGCGCAGTTTGTTCAATAACTTCTTTGTCCTTGCATCCAAATGACGTTTTTGTTGCGCACGTCTTCGCGCACTCAAGTATTTTTGGAAAAAGTATTTCGGCAAAGAGGGATAGAAGTTGCTTCATTTCATCTTGTTCACCCTCTTTTACTTCGACATTATCAAGCAAACTCCTTCCGACGACTTCATCCTCTTTCAATTCATAAGGGGTCTGAGTTGAGCATGGCCTTCCAGATTGGGATAACTGTGGATATAGAACTTCAGCTAGGAAGAGCAAAAGCTGCTTCATCTCATTCATTTTACTCTTCCTGATCTCAACTTCCTCATCTCCGCTTTTCCCACTGCCTTCTTCCACCTTTGACTCGCACGGCGTCTTGGCTAGGCATGTGTTCACACATTGGACTAATTGTGGATACAGCATCTCAGCAAAGAAAAGTAAAAGCTTCTTCATTCCATCTAGTTCACTCTCTTTGACTTCAACTTCGTTCTCCAAGGTTCTTCCTGATACTTCGTCTGCTTCCAACTCACTTGGAGTCGTATTTAGAGATGTCTTCCAACATTGAGCTAACTGCGGATATAGCAATTCTGCAAAGAAGAGTAAAATCTGTTGCATTGTTCGGATTTCAAAACCCTCTTCTTCGACAACTTCAGCCACACTTCGCCCGATACCCTCCTCCGCCTTCAACTCACACGAAGCCTTGCGCAGGCATGTCTTCACGCAGTTAGCTAATTTTGGGTAAAGCATCATGGCGAAGAAGAGTAAAATCTGTTTCATTTTTTCCAGTTGACAGCAGTCATTCCCGACACCGTTTTCTGCACAATCATCGCAGTTATTCGACCTCGAGTTTGCAATTAAAGTTTCAAAGTTATTTTGTCCCTTGCCGTAAATCCATTTGAATAATTCCATAACCACATCTTTCACTATACGCTCTCTGCTTGATAGATTTGTGTCACAAGCATTCTTCCCACACGGACTGCAACCGCTTCCACCCATGCTGGTGACAAAGGCACCTTTGTACAATCCGATATTAGCACTATTCTTATATACTAAAACAAATTCACCTGAACCTTCACTCATGATGGCATTCAATTCGTACTATTCCTTCCTCGTGACAGACTTTACGATATCTTCGAGGAGTAGAAACGCCTAAACATCGAGCTTGGTAAGGTGAAATTAGTTACATTTAAAATGAGCCAACGCAAGTCGACATGACAGTAAAGAAATGGTATGTTGTGTATTCCGCTACTCAAGCCGAGAAAAAAAATAGAGAATTATTTTCTGTTAAAACATTCACATAGAAAGGTATCATGGTTACTAAATCTATCAAAATTAAAGTCATTCGATGATCATCTGCAGATTTTTCAGCTGATTTTAGTACTTGTGAGGAAAGTGCAAAAAAAAACCAAACTTTTGTCCTAATGCACAGGGTGTAACAAGAATACGAAATCGCATTATATCCCTTTATCAAATTAACTGACAAGGAAAAAAGAAATAAAATGCTTCCCAATGTACTCCGGAATGGTGAATGATAAAGTGAATGTTAAGAGAAAGGGCACATAAATAGTTCAACTGAAGATATGCATTCTTTACCTTGGGTCAACCAGCCAAATAGCTAATCAGCCCACATATTAGTCAGCGATTTTGTCCTTTGGAGCACTAAGTTTAGGGTGCGCAGATGAGTAATTGTTGAATGCATCACGGCACCTCAGAAAAGACGTGTCTGAGCCACTAGTGTAAATTGATAGAGAATCGTAGACGATGAACATGATTATAGTGGTAATGTGACTTATGGGGCTGCCGGTGTTGGGATGTCTTTAGCCCTTTACGAAGGGGGTGCAGATTTTCATGGCATGCGAGTCACGGCAATGAGCTGGGTCAACACTGCGTCACTGCAGGTCTAAAATCGATGCGGTGGCGTCAGTATGACAGTGGTTTATTGCCACATACCCATGTTGGAATGGCGGGCCAGTACAGTGCCTTCACATGCTTCCCATTTCTACGAAAGTATTTGCAATAGGAACTAAGGTGATTGTGATAGAACTTCTGAATCATTACACCAATCCAAGGTTAGATCCATGGACTGAAGGAAGAATGAGCAAGCAGAATTTAAGGTACAACTTGCATACGTTTTGAGAACCGTGTTTACGGTGTCAAATAGTTTGACCTCATATGTATTGCTAAGATAAAGCATGCATATAAGCCCAATAAACCATATTAGTAATAGGAGCGTATTGAGAGCGTTTCAGTACTGAATTCGCTTCAAATAAATTGCCTTTATTCTTATTCATGCGTCAACTTTATTCCCACCCATGACGCCTGCTGAAAGTTCAATTGGATGCAGATGTGATAAACCTTCGACTACTGGTTGGCTATAAAATATACTTTACATTTTGGAATTTCACTATTACAAAGGCAGCATGAACAGAATGGTCCGCTTTTGTGGGGCAGGCGAACTAACAATAGGAGGTTATGAAGGAGAATATGAAGATTTCCAACAGAGGGCCAAAGAATTACGCTCAACCCAAACAATCGCCCCAATCTTGTGTGTCATGTACTTTCCCTTCTAATTTTTTTCAGGATTTAACACAGATTTCAAGCACGCAACGAAACTTGAAACATAAAAGAATACGTCATGAAACGCAAAAAGCATTGGAAAATTAAAAAATGAAATCGATACAAAATTTGGGCAGAGCAAATTAAAAATAATCCCAAAGGTAAAGAAAACAAAACAAATGCAATAAAAGAAAAAATTAAACCAAAAAATAGGCTTTATTTTAGACAAATTTGTAAGAAAAATGTCAACAGAGAAATATAACATGGCATTTCGAAAGGAAGTCAGCAATTTGAGGGTACAGGATCTCGGCGAGTAGAAATAGAAGCTGTCTCAGGTTCCTCGTTTCACCCGCCTCCAACTGGA